ACGTGCCGGTGTGCGCGCGCGCCTGGCCGCCGCGTCTGCTCTCTGCAGGTGCTGGCCCGGCTGGGGGTCGCCGGCCAGTGGCGCTTCGCTGACGTGCTGGGGCTGGAAGAGGAGGCTCTGGGCTCCGTGCCAGCTCCTGCCTGCGCGCTGCTGCTGCTGTTTCCCCTTACAGCCCAGGTAAGGCGTGGGGTGTGGGGAGCGTCGACCCCCGACGGTGCGCGCTGCTTCCAAACCTGTGGGAGATGTGGAGGACGGTGTCTATAGACTCGCTGTTTGAACTGGTGTCCAGACCTAGCAAAAACGGTTCCCTCCCTCTGGGGCATACAAGGTGCACCTCCCAGGGAGTGAGGAATAGCTACTTTGCCAGTACCTACTCTGGGAGCTCTCTTGTAATAGAATAGCGTTTATTGCCTCCTTGGCCATCCACTCAGAGTGCCTTGAATTTATAAGTGAAGCAGCATTTCAGTTCCAGCATCTCAGTTGCTCTGGAAAGATATTCCGCCTACTCATGAGATCATTAGAATCTGGGCTTTTCTGAACCTGCTAAGGCAGGAGTGGTCCTTAAAAGGCAATTTATTGTTTGGTGCTGAGATTCCTACCTTGCTATAAAATGGAGGGGAATGGCTTGCTAAGTCACAAGAAAACAATGGGGGTTCTCTAATTCTCCACCTCCACTGCTGAGTTTCCTGTGGGCCAGTCTTACCATTCCCCTCAATATGCGCAATTGATTTTTAGCCTCTAGAATGTGGTTAAAAATAAAGGAAAGAAAAAGAAACCCAAAACAACCAATTACATGTGTTTGTGAGGGAGGGAGCCTCTTTCCTGTCTCTTTTGTCTCTGAGCATGTAGCTATATGAAGTAGGTGGGCATTAGAGCAGTCTTGGAAACACCTTTTCATTTCCCTTTAGATGGTCTTCCTCCAAGTATGCATGGATATATGTACCTCAAAGGCTGAGCTTCAAATATTAAAAAGGTAGCTGGGATAATTGTTGTCTTGCGATGTATGGAATCCCACTAATTAGCATGGCATTGTCTACCCATTGCTTTCACTTGATTCCTGATTTGGGCATGGTTGAAATTAGCTAACTTTGGGACATAGCCTTTGTGATGTCACTCCAGACAGAGTGAAGCCCTCTCCCAAGGTTGGGTGTTTTGGAGTCATTCTCGGTATGGGTTAAGCCCTCTGGAAAAATTCCACTCTTCCCAATCAATGGATTAAGGTTACTGGGTTAAAACACTTATTCAAACTATTAGGATGATCCCACTTACATGTTTCTATTAGGTCGTTAACTTAGGGAAGAACAGCTGCAGATCAAATTAGCTTCCCTGTTCTGATCAAACAGCCACCTCCCTCTCCTTTTAGCCTCTTACGGACCTTTCTTGTTAGAGAAACCATGATGACTCACAGGTTTTGAACAGCACTCGGGCCAGGCCTCTGGGAGGCAGTGGTGCAGCATGTTTTTACTTCAGAAGCCTGCTGTTCTCCCTTTGCTAAATGAAGTCACTCTTGCTTTAGGGAACATGGTTTGGATATTTTTGTTTCAAAGAGCTCACTACTTTGTCCTTTAGTGCCAGTTCAATATATTAGATTTGGCAAAACACTGCAGCAAATTCAGAGAAAAGTTGGGGTTTACAGGTTGATTTCCAAGCGAGCTAACGTTAATTTAGAAAGCACCTGTTTAAGAGTTCGAATTTGATTTTAAGCAATAATGAAATAGTAACAGAAGTGTCACTATGACAAAGTAAAAACAACCTTAAAGGTTAGGGTTATCCCATTCGTAATCTAATTAACCTAGAAAAGTGAAAATCTTTGCAGTCGATGAGCAGCTCAAGTAATTCAAGGATTCGGTAGATAACGATGCTAGAACTTAACCACTGGTTGGAATTCAGGTGACCTTGTAGGACAAGAGCTCTTTAGTCATCTGGTGGTGCACAGACCAGGCTTTTACTTCATTTCATATACAAGCTGCTAGCATTGGGAATGTTTCTGGTTTTCAATTTGAATTCCACTAATTATGGGGAATTTGCTTCTATAGTGTCAGTACCCTACTTTTAACTTGAGAAGTCACACTTTTTAGTTTTTAAAACCTTGATAGTAAAAGCTTCAGACAAGTCCACTAAATTACTGTAAACAGAGCTAATAGCTGCTTGAAGGAAAACTGTATCTAGTGTTACTGATTTACTCAGACCTTGTGATCCTGCAATTGCTAAGATGCCCTTAGTTATACCACCTGCAAAGACAACCTGTCACATCATCTTGTAGGATGACATATTTTTGTGAACTTACAGCTCAGTAACCTAGACTTTTAACTAAAAATATGGGTAGGGGAAATAATTGATTTTTATTTTTTAAACTTACCTTCAATTAAGACTTTTTTTTTTTTGAAGCATACTTAGAAGGAAGTAGCCCTTTAAAAAATACTGAAATATAAACCGGTTGATGTACTTGTTGGAGGTTAAATTGACCAAAGCATGATTGGAGTGCCTGTGTGAAACCATTGTTGGTGTGAAAGGGAGGAAAGAATGAACTTGTCTGCTTTTCCGATTTCCTGGCACCACCCATTTCAAGTGGAAAGGTACAGTGGTGTCTAGACAAAGCCTTGGGTGATATCCAAGGCCACTACTGCAGTGCAGCATCAGGGTGGAGTCCCGGAACCTCTGTGAGCCCATGGGCTGGCGTGGGAGGCAGACAGGCCTCTGGCGCTGGGCAGCAGCTCGAGCCAGTCTCCTGGTCACACATCCCACTTGTTTCAGTTTAGGTGGTAGGACGCGCTGTGCTGCCATCTGCTCTTACATTTTCAGTTGAAGATACAAAAATGTTCTTTTATATCCCAGCATGAGAACTTTAGGAAAAAACAGATTGAGGAACTGAAGGGACAAGAAGTCAGTCCTAAAGTGTACTTCATGAAGCAGACCATTGGCAACTCCTGTGGTACCATAGGACTCATCCACGCGGTGGCCAATAATAAAGACAAACTACAATTTGGTAAGTGTGAGTTTGGAGGTTGTAGATCTCTAGGTAACGATAAAGCTTAATTCCAAGGGTCAGTTCAGCAAACCACTGCTTTAGAAATTTTTGATGCCCACTTATTCAGTTCGATAGTGGGTGAATTCATGCTTCAGTTTTGCTTTCTTTTAAGACTTATTTATGCATACAAGAACTGGGGTACAAGCCAGAGGAAACAGGGCTTGTTATCTCTGGTGAGAGGAGTCATCAGAGAGAAGTGGGGAGCAGAACAGACCCAGCCTGGGGATCGAACTTGTGCAGTGGTTGCCATAGCTTCATAGTGCTGTTCTTAACCCTTTGTACCACCAGCCCCCCACCTCCCAAACCCCTGTGTTTCTGTTTTAATGGGACACGTTGTCCAAGAAACTTGGTTTCTTGGAGAGGAGTTAGTGCTCTGCGATTTTTTTTTTTCTTGTCTCTGCATACACTCTTCCATTCTGACAATTTTGATGAAAGGAAGAACCCTTGGGGTTCTTTATTGTAGGTATTCTCATGTGCTCTTATTGAATTCTAAAGAATAAGAAAGGATAAGCTTTAAAATATCAACAATCAGGACCTATCTTTAATGGTTCTGTATCTTTCAGCAACATAACCAAACAGCTTAAGGCACCTCATCACATTACATAAGCCCCTGCAGGGACCCATAACAGCAGGTTGAAACCTTGAAAGATCATTTGTGAACAAAGTCAGCTCAGAGTCTTTCATTCACCTCTGATGGGTAAGGTGGAGAATGTAAAAGATAAGATCCTAAACACAGTTAACACTTCTGAGATACATTAAAGTGCATCGCCCATGGTGCATGACCTAGACCAAGAGCCCGTACTCTTACAAGTCCAGAGAGTAAATATTTTAGAATTTGAGGATCACCTGGTCTCTGCCCTCATACTGGACAAAATGCAAACCACTGGATGTGGCTGTTTTCAAGAAAACTTTATTTACAAAAGTAGGCAGCAATAGCGGTCAACTCCAGATTCAGCCTGTAGGGTTGGGGGAGAGGTGATTTAAGAATTAAATAACTTCAACAGCTCATACTGTTACTCATAGCAGGTCAAGTACCTTTAAAAAAAAATGCTCAAACAACATTGCGTTGGGGAGGTGCCAGCATGTCCCACAGGGACACACACTAAGGGACGAGTCGTGGAGTAGGTTTGCAGAGCAAACTTCATGCTATTTGTTAGCAGCAATAAACAAGCATGATTGTCACATAATCAACGAGCAGGAGGAATGGGGGAGACAGAGGGCAGTCAGCTTCGTGGGGAGCTGGAGGGGACATGTTAGCCACATCTCCAGGGAGTTCCTGTGTAGGTACTTGATGCACTTTCTGAGCTACTCCCAGACCACCTCAGACCATGGCCACACCATCAGTCAGTGGCTGCCTCAGTGTCCCCGGCTGCCTCGTGACGTGTGGGCCCTTGTCTTAGGACAGTTGTGCCCGAGTGCCTTCTCCAATTCTTGCATGCATAGGTGCAGAGAGTCCACATGGGTGCATAGAAAGGCCACATAACAAAACTCCAGTAAAAGTGTGGCCCGCAGTCTACTTACAGGTATAACTTTTGAAATTTAAAAAAAAAAAATTGTTTATAAATATCCAAATCCTTTAGAAATTGTGTTTTCCAAGTAGTGACTAAGCCATGCTAAAAAACTAAAGCTTGAGATTTGCTATTTTCTTCTGTAGCATATTTCAGTGTATTTACGGTACCATGTTCCTGAGGTTTTAGCAAAGGTGCGGTGATTTTGTAACCATGGCGACAAAGACCTAATCCCTGCCACAGCCTTCTGGTTGTTCCATTTAAAGTTTTTTTGTTTTTTTTTTTTTTAAGATTTATTTATTTATGCATATAAGAACTGTGGGGTGTAGGCCAGAGGTGGGGAGGGAGATGAGAAGATTCCCTAGAGACAGAACGGGCAGATTAACTGAAATACCCTGCTGGGGGGGTGAGACAGGAGAGGTCTGCTGTACCTTATGGGTCAGCTCCTTGGCAGGGGCTTGAGCCTGTGCTGCAGTGGCTGAGAGCTTGGCAACACTGTGTCTTTAATTCCTACGCCACCAGGGAGGCACAATTTTCCAGTTTAGACTGAAACTTCAGTTCAGATCTTTTGAAGTTGAGGTTGCTCTTGCTCTGTGGTCAGTGTCTGCTGCATGCATCCACACTGAGCCTGACAAAGGGTTTATACCAACTCTCAGCCCATCATGCTTTCTAGGCCCACTGGCTCTGTACATTTCTATTGAAGATCATTTCGGTGTTTTATCTGGGTAACAGTTTAAAAAGTTTGCATTTTCCACACCGAAATAAAAATCTTGGTTTGAGAACTGTTACTAGTGTGATTATTGCATCGTAATAATAGCCAGTGGTTATACATTGCTTTGTGCTGTAGACATAAAACAGAGACGAGTGGTCTACTTTGATGGCACTAAAGAAGCTCACAGATGCATTTTACAAGTTGGCAAGTGATTTGCAATTTACAGGTTGAGCTTGAAGTGGGAAGAGAGAGACCAGAGGTGGTAGGTAGCAGAGGCAGGGGTTTGCTGGTCACACTGGAGGAATAGAATTCTCCAGCTTGAAAGTGGGCTCTAGGGGTAGGTGGAAAAAAGCTGGGGTAAAAAGGAGAACTCATGTATGTGTGTGGAGACCACAGTAAAGATTCTGGTTCTCAAACATGACTGACCATGCAAAAGCATTTGTCAGCCATAAATATGCATCTATTTGCATTATTTTATCTGTGCTAATATTTACATTTTTTCTCTTTAAAAAAGAGGATGGATCAGTCCTGAAACAATTTCTTTCTGAGACAGAGAAGTTGTCCCCTGAAGATAGAGCAAAATGCTTTGAAAAGAATGAGGTAGGAAGAGAACTTACAAAGCATTGTGTTTCCAATAACTTTGGAGGTTTCTGTGCTAATTCTTTCTTTTCTTCTTCCTGCAGGCCATTCAGGCGGCCCATGATGCTGTGGCACAGGAAGGCCAATGTCGGGTAAATACGAGCAGAAACCAGAGCCGGGCTCTGTTAGCCCTGAAGGATGAGCAGCAGCCTCTTCGTGAAACCTAGCCAGTGTTGTTTTATACCCAAGGCCAACTAGCCCTAGAAAATTCTACCAGAATAATACTTTGATCAAACTTGTTCATAAAAAAATTAATGCTCATGTCAACTGTCAGTTACATTCTTAGTCTTGGTGACTTCAAGCTGATAGTATTTTAAATTCAAGTGAGTCTAATAGAGTAATGCCTTTCCTAGCAATTGTGTATTTCAGATACCCTTCTTACAGACTGTTGGGGAGAGTAAGATATACTAAGGACTGACAGTTTGAAAGACTTAAATGTACCATTAAGCTGAACAGAACCTTTGAGCCATCTGTTAAATTAGATTTAAGTCACTGACAGTGTCATCATAACTGTTGATTCTGTCACTTTCTGGTTTTAACCATTGGTGAGATAATTAGCTTCCCTAAGCTTTAATATCCTCAGTAAAAAGGACGGAACAGCATCTTTATAGAGTTCTGACAGTTAATCTGCCTTAATGGGTTTAGAATATGGCCTAGAATGTTAGCTGTTAAAACTTAAAATATATATATAGGCAAATTGGTCAAGCATGTTTGATAGCAAGAGAATTTGTGTTGAGCAAATTAAGTGCCACTTATAAAATGCTTACTCTCAAAAATAATCTCTTGGCTCTCTTCAGGTAGATGACAAAGTGAACTTTCATTTTATTCTGTTTAACAACGTGGACGGTCACCTCTATGAACTTGGTATGTTTTACCACATTTTTGGTATCTGATATAGCTTGAGGCGTGCTTTTTCAGCTTCACTCCTCTTAAAATCTTGATATGTAGTTTTATGGCACTTAGTATATTATTGTAGGTGAAGTCAGAGCTCTAAGGTCTTCTCTTGGGGCTGCTTAGTGCTTTATAAACATTCAGGCAACTGACCCATGGTATTGTTCCCAAACCAGTGAATGAGAATTGGCGTAGTGCAAGCTGTAGGCGTTCAATTTCCTCTTTCTGCTTTGGATAAAGCATTACCAGTGTATAGCTCTGATCATCATCCTTTTCAGTCAAGGAATACATTTAGAAAACGATAAATGCCCATATGCAAGTAGCCCAAAAGTGGCCTTGTTTATGTGAAAAGCATTTGGACACGGTAGTTTCTGTGAATTGGTGTATTGCAACCAGACAGCTCATCCATTTTGTCAAGAGTCCTCCCTTTCCACTAATGGAGACTTAACAGCTGTGTTATTTCAAGTCAAGACATGGCCTTGAGTGCAAAAGACTTAGCTTTATTTACCATCATTGAAGGTCAGCTGAAATCTCAAGGTGCTCTGTGGTCTCTTTCAAAATGGGCATGAATACATCATCAGTTAGGGTAGCCATACTGGGTTTGTGGGCTTTGCCTCGAGGCTAGACTTGCCTGGAATGGTACTGGGAATACTCGAATCCTATTTTCAGTCTGTTGCTTTGTAACCAGCCTTTTCTTTGTGGGAGTAACCAATTCTCTTTGGAGGAATCTAAAATGTCCCTTTAGCATGAGCAAGCATAGTAACCAGAAAACATGCAGAGAAAATGGAAATGCCCTGCTTCTTTCTTACAGATGGACGAATGCCTTTTCCTGTGAACCATGGCACCAGTTCGGAGGACACACTGTTACAGGTAATCTTTGGACTCAGTCTCCGTTAACACCCACATTTCTTTAGCCAAATTGTGTATTCTAAAGTGCTAACACTGCAGCCAATGTTGATCAGCTGGGTTAATAGTAATCTGTAGGGCTTAAAGATCATCTTAGTAATTCTACCTGATTTTATAGCAAATGGTTATAAACAGCATCCCTCTGAGCGTTCCTGACTAATCTGGATCGTGTGCTGTCTTTATCCCTTGCTTCGAATTACCCTGAAAAGCCAGTGCTGCACTTCATGGGGATTAAGGTGACCATTGTCCCCTCATCAGATTACATCATAGTTGGCCAGCACATGTAATAGCAATTTTCGTAATTCCTCAGACTGCTGAATTTGGGTCAGTCTTGGATCCTGTGTTATTTCAAGTCAAGACATGGCCTTGAGTGCAGAATCCATGGTGGATTCTGGTCAGGCAGTTAACATTGGGAGTTCTCACGTGGCCCACGGTTACAGGGTGAGAAGAGCACACTCAATGCCTGACAAGAACTTTTATTTAGAGCCAGGGCTTATGTGTTCATCCTGGTACAAATGACCGCAGAAGCCACTTCTGGACTAGCGTTGGTGATTCTCTAGGTCTCTTCCATCTTCAAAACAAGTCATAGTTAAATCAATTTGCTGTTATAAAGAAATAATACTTGGGCCTCCCTGGTGGCTTAGTGATGAAAGACATGGTACTATCAAGCTATCAGCAGCCACTGCAGCATGAGTTCGTCCCTGGCCAGGGAGCTGACCCATGTGGCACAGCAGACCTCCTGTCTCTCCCCCCCCCTGCCCCCCCCCCGCTCCCCTCGGCGAGTATTTCAGTAGATCCTCCTGTTCTGCTCCCCACTCTCTCTGGTGAGTCCTCACCCCCTGCACCTCTAGCTTACACCCATGTTCTTGTATGCATAAATATACATCTTTACAAAAAGAACAAGTAATGCATGGTGAGTTAAAAATTCCTCTTAAGGTTTAGTTACTTCATTTATAAAAACGCCTAATCTTTTTTGAGGTCTCTATGTAGACCAGGGGCCTGCAACTTTGTTTCGTTAAGAACTAGATAGAAAATATTTTAGTCTTCAGGTGGCCTAGGGCTCTGCTGTAAATATGCAGTTCTGCTCTTGGAGCGATAGTGTAGCCCAAAGACAAGAGGCTAACGGGTGAAGGACTGTGCCACTGAAAGGGGAAATCGGCTAAATTTTGCCCACAGCCTGTTGATTCCTGTGCTGGCTGCCACAGATGCTACTGAAGTGATACATCTTTTGTAAAACCCTTTAATGATATCACAAGGTAAAGGTGATGCTCACATTTAACAAATTAGGAAACTGAGGTACCGAGGTGAAATTATTTCTAAGGAGAGTGACATACATGGCAGAACCATGGCTCAAATCTACGCAGTGTCTCTCCAGCCCACACTCTCAGCCACTGTCCATACAACCTTTTGTGTAATGACCTGTCTTTGTAACAACGTGGACTGGATGACCTCTGAGTGCTAGTGGACCAAGTGATGCCACCCGAGAAGGGGGGGGGGTCACTCAACCTAGTTCATTATTACATATACTCGAGCTAAAAATTCTTAGGCGTGGCACAGTGTACAAGAGTGGCATGGAGTGAATAGTAGACCTGGGGAAGGAGGATTGGGGTAGTGAGGGTCTACCCCAACTTTCAATTTTAATAAATTGAAATTTATTTCTGGGAGTTCAAGAACAAATGGCAGAATTTATGATTATTACCCATTTGGGTGAAAAGATGGATCTTCTAATAAAGCTCAAGGTATTCTTTGTGATGTCTTAATGCTATTCCGTAAATACCATGAAATGTGCCCTGTTTACAATACCTAAAACTGTTACGTGAGTAGAAGTTGTTGTGGGAGAAACAAGTCTTGTTTAAACTTCTCAAATCAATCTGGACTATTAAAATTGAGACTTCTGATAGCAAGTAGTGGGATGTCGACTGCCATCTACATTTTCTTTAGTTTTTCTAAAGCAACATGGTTTCAAAGCAACCTGACTCCAGGGTGGTCAATGAGGGCCAACTTCACCATTGAGTTGATGTCTAGTCTTGCTGATGTTCCATTGCCCTTGGAAATCTTAGTTTATCCCCTATCCTCCTAAAGCTCTCCTATTTAAAGTGGTTTATGGGGCTGTCTTTCCATTGGACTTTACAAATTAATGATTGATTGATAACTCAAGATTTAAAAACCCTACAATATACTAACTAATGTTGGAGTCAGTTTTATGCTAATCTTTGTAACCTACGTCTTAGAATGAGTAAAACATCATTCCACCAGCAAAGAATATGCCACTGGTCTTACTCCTAGAATACCAGGTATTTTAGTGCTGTTTTGTAAAATCTTGAAAGAAATTTATCTCTGCTCTGGCAATTTGAACTAGGGACATTTTCCTCTATGCACCTTTATGGAAGAGAGAACAACTTTCTATTTAGACTTGAGGAAAACGTCACTAGTAATCTAGTTTTGTCAAAACCAGGTGTGAAGTGGGAGAAACACAGTGTTTGGTAAAATAGTAAAGGAGGCGGGGCTTCTGCCTCCAATCTATAATGTGGTTGTCTTTTCTCCATCAGACCTTTTCTCTTGCTTTGAGTCCTGGTTTTTAAATTTAATGGGCATTAAGCATTTATGCTTTGCAGAAATTAAAGTTGCACATAAATGGGTCCTACTGGCGTTTTCCCTTTGAAACTTTTGTTTTGAGGTGTTGCTGTTTGGGTCATTAATGGAACTAGCATTAACTGGATATTCCTTCTTTGCAGGATGCCGCCAAGGTCTGCAGGGAATTCACTGAGCGTGAGCAAGGGGAAGTCCGCTTTTCCGCTGTGGCCCTCTGCAAGGCGGCCTAATGCCATGGGGAGGGGCTTAGCTTTCTTCCCTTCTTCCCTTCAGTGTGGAATGTGTCCTTCCCATTGCATTCTAAAATGTTCCAGTACTTGTAGCACACAGCAGTCCTCCTTCGGTTCTGCAGACATGCTCTTACCCTCAACCACGCCCAAGCACTAGCAGAGCTCAGCTGGCAATAGAGCAGTTTGGTGTAAGCTTCCGATGGTCGAGTCTCCCACCCTGCCATTGTATGTCCTGTACCACAATATTTAATGCTTTAAATGGCTACTTTGGTTTGTGTAAGTTGAGGCCTTGAACGTCGTTTGTTTGTCCTTAAAAGGAATAAAACTTTTCTGCTGATGAGAGAAGCCTAAGCTGGTTTTCATTTGCTTTTACCTTCTCCCCAGTGTATCTCTGTTTTGATAACAGCCATACCTTCTGTATACTTAAACAGCACAGGTAAGAAAATTGACATAAAAATGCTGGGTTTAGTGTGAGTGGACTTTATTTTTTGGGATAACTTCACATTTACAGAAAGATCATGGAGGACACAAACGTGTATTCCACTTAGGCTATTCATTCAGTATGCTACTTTTGGGACAGTCAATGAGTCCATAAGTGTTAACTTTTGTTATCCGAAGCCCATAGCTTCTTCAGATTTTATATATATATATATAATTTTAAGATTTACTTATTTATGCATACAGAGCTGGGGTACAGGCTAGAGGTGCAGGGTAGTGAAAGGATTCACCAGACAGAGTGAGGAGCAGAACTTGCAGATCTACTGAAATATACTGCTGGAGGGAGCAGTGGGCGGGTCAGGAGAGGTCTGCCACACCATGTGGATCACCTCCAGGGCTGGGGATCGAACTCATGCTGAAGTGGCTTTAGCTTCTTAGTGCTGTGCTTTAACCCACTACGCCACCAGGGAGGGCCCACATCTTATCTTTTACCTAATATTCTGTCCCAGGATCCCATGCAAGATGGCACATTCTATCTGATGGTATATATTAGGGCTTCCCTTGGCTGTGACACTTTCTCAAACTCCTGGCTTTTGATTGACCTTGACAGTTTTGAGGAATAGTTCTTTTGTGGGATGCCCCATTATTTAAATTCCGATTTTTTTAATGACTAAGCTTAGAAGTTTGAGGGAAGGAAGACCCACAGAGGTATTATCAGCTAGACTTGTCACTGTTGATTGTTGACTGTAAAGCTAATCTTCCCATTCTCCATGCTGTCCTTGGGAGGAAGCAGCGGCATAGCCCACATTTGCCATGGAGGGTTAAATGTTCTTGTAATTCTCTTGCAAAGGAGATTTGTCTCCTCTGTTTCATTTAGTGTGAACCCAAGGACATTCTTTATCTGGTTTGTCCACTGCTACTTTCTGCTGTTATTCCATTGAGAGCTATTTCATTTGGCAAGTGTCATTTTGACCTAGCGCAATCAGTGTATGGTTGGTTTTTTTAAAGTCTTAACCATTTTTACTTTTTAATAAGGATATGGTAGGGTTTATTTTATAGGCTTATATATAACATTGGTTCTCAACAACTGATAATTGAAAGTAAGATTTCTGTCATTAGAGGAACTAAGGACAGTGGAGAAAAAGAGCCCATACTTGGGTCTGTCAGCTTCACAAGGCCTTCATCCAGCTCATTGCCTAAAGTCAGGTTACTTGGGTCTTAGCTTATAGTTCTCAGCTCTGATTCTGTGGTGATACTTCTGATTCTAAGTGAAGGATATTTTGGGTCCCAGAAGGAAAATTATCCTATTAAAACATTTTTTTAAATGTGAAAATTATACAATTTTAATTGCTCTGAGTTGTAGTTAGAGGAATGTATGTTCAGCTCTAATTTTGTGTGAAGATTAGCTTAGGGGAAAGAAAGGATCCGTCCTACTTAGAAGAGTTCATGAAAGGGTTGTTTTGCTTACAGAAATATAAATTGCAGCTATAAAACCTTAATGCCATGTATGAGAAGCCTATTAAAATGCTCTCAAACTGACTTGCCTTCACAAGCCGCACCATGGAGATGGTGTGTGATAATGTATGTGGGTGATTGCAACCCTAAGATATTTTAGTTTTAGTCAGGCAGTGGGCCTTAGTAAGCTGGGTAACACCTTCGGACCTCCATACTAAACATAGCTGGTCTGGGTTAGGATTTGATGATTGGCTCTAGAGTTTATCAAGCCTGTCTTTGATCTCCACATGTGTTTCTTAGTAACTTTAAAGGCATTATCCTTTCCCACATATTCATTGCAGCGTGTTAAAAATAGAGTGAAGAATATCTGGAAAAGGCCTGGTCTCCAGAATCTTCCATCTTCCGCACTGCCCTTCCTGAAGCCTCAGTCACGCACAACGTGAGAGATAACACTGGATGCTCCATGTGAAAGCAGTATTCTGGAGCTGTGCGATTCAAGCCCTCATTTACCCAGCACGCCCTAGTTGACATCTTGGATTTGTCAAAGATGTATATATCTAGTTGGCTTCTTAAAATGTTAGCCAGTTTTTAGCATTGGAAATAAAAGGCAAAGCCAAGCAATGCTAAGCTTATCCCCTCTAGGTACAATTGATGTGTAACATTAGAACTAAGAATTCTTCAGTGGGCCTCTGTGGGTGAGTTCGAGTTTACCCCCAAGTTTCTTCAATTTGTAAGACTCCGGTGCAGTTTATTAACTTAGTCTCTGTATGCTATGGGCTTTATTTGGTCTTTCAGCAAGTTCCCCTGTGAGGTTACTTTAGAATTTAATCTTTCTGGCCCTCCCTGGTGGCACAGCGGGTTAAAGCACAGCACTGAGAATCTAAAAGCCGCTTCCACATGAGTTCGATCCCCGCCTGCCCCAGAGGTGACCACATGGCGTGGCATACCTCTCCTGACCCGCCCGCTGCTCCCCTCAGCAGTGTACTTCGTGGATCTGCCTGTTCTTCTCCCCACCCTGTCTCTGGTGAAGCCTCTCACCACCCCTGAGCCTCCAGCCTGTACCCCAGTTCTGTATGCACAAATAGATAAATCTTTAAAAAAAAAAAAGAATTTAATCTTTCTGTTCTCTTATCCCTCAACTTTTTAGGAACATTTCAGTCTCCTGTACACCTTGCCATGTTAAATAGTGCCATATGCTAATATGGCAAAGTCGTTCTTGTCCCTTGAATGATGTGATCTTATTAACCCATTTATTAATATTAATGGTATTTAGTTCACCAGCCCAATTTCTTGGCTTGCAGCTATGTGTCGCCTTTGTGGGCAGGATGGCTGGTACAGCCCTACATGCTGCAAATGAGGGGACCTTGGCACAGGCTTATAAGGAGAGAGCCAAAGTAAGACACAGAGCTTAGTACATGGTGAGCATGAGTTCAGAATCATGTCACTACAATGTAGTTAGTAAGAGAGTTGAAGAGTGTGTGTGAACAAAGGAGAAGCAGAAAAATCAAGTTTGGATGTTGCATCTAGTACCAAATATTTGGATTTGGGCAATGTAAGTCACTTGATGGATTCCTTTCCCTGTTTATGTTTGCAATCACTCTCCCTAAACTAACTTAAAATCAGATTTTATACTAGTGTGTCTCCTGGCTGTCTTAGTACTCAGTTGTTTTCCATGGCCATTCTCTAAGGGACAGACTTTGGCATCTCATGTGGTCCATTTGCAAATATCAGAGATCTAATCATTGATCCATACTTTATTCGTATTTCTCTAGGCTTCACTTAATGTCCTTTTTCTGTTCTGAATCTCACATAGGATGCCACGTTGTATACAGTTGTCACATCTCTTTAGATTTCTCTTGGCTGTGATTTGTTAAAATAAAACCAACTACACTGACCCCAGCTACTGCTTGAGCTCTGGCTCTTGATAGTTCTGGGCTCCATGTTCTCCTGGGGGTACTTCAGGTAGGAAGCTTTGTGGCTGAGAGCTGTGGGCTGTGTGGTCAGCTACACCCTTGACTACTTGGTGCTTTGGCCAGTGTAACCCTCCAAAGCTTTACTTCCCTTATCTACAAAGTGGGCTTTATAAGAATCCCTTGAACTGTTTGTGGGGGTGCTTAGGGATATGCCTGGGCAAAGAGAAAGCTAGGGCTTTTGCTTTTGTCACCTCTGACCTTCATTGTCCTCTTTCCTTTTTCTTCAGCCAAGGTACCAAGTGCCCTTCACTGCTCACTGCCCAACAAACCTTGCTTCCTCGGGTAAGACCCCACTTCCAGAACAACTTTTCCCTAAGGTGTTAGTCTGAGCTATGGCTCCCAGGACAGTTTTCTTCTCCTTTGCAGTGAGGAGTACATCCTGTTTCACATCAAGATGCGAACAATTATTTGCCTTCATAGGGTATTGATTTGGAAGAAAGGAATCATATGTTTTAAACTTTAATTTCAGAGGGCCACGATGTTTTGAAGCAGCCATATATATCTTTGCTTTGATTGACATTTATCTGTAGTCATTAGAGAGAAAACAGCATTTAAATATCCAGCATTTGGATATTAAGCCCACATTGAGTGACTAATACCTGAGTTTGCTTCATATAAAAATCCAGTGAATTACAGGAATACAAAAGTTTTAGTCAGAACTAGAGTCCACTAGGTGGCAGCAGAGGAAAGCGTATGGCAATTTCATAGCTAAGTGGGTTTGAACAAAGTTGAGAAAGGAAAGAAAAAGCAGTTGTTGCTGGTGCCCACCAGTAAGACCTGAGGAGTATGATAGCTTCATACTAGCCCCATATTTTAGAATTGACTAACCAATCCTGCTATAGACTGGCCAGGGTCAATCTGGGGAATTGCTGGTCGGGCTCCCCATAATTTTACACGGGCTCTGTTTATTTCATTAAAAACAACAACAAAACTATTAACATCAAAATATAAGGTCACTAAATGAATGCTTCCTCTGTGAATGCCGAATTGGATATAAACCCAAATATACAGTTTTTGACCTGATGTAACCAAATGTACATCTTTTTCCTTCACGTTAGAAAATAGAATTGTATACTGTTAAATTGTTAGATCTTTAGAAAATATTTTCCTTAACACTTGAACAATGTTAATTTTAATTTCAAGTAGTTTCACAGACTGATTAAGATACTGGGCCTAGTTCCAATATGGACAATATCTGATATTAACTAATTGCCTTTTCTTTTATTGGCTTCCATTTCCTCATTTAAAAAGGTATTTCTATTAATTTTTTATTTTGTGTACAAGAACTGGGGTGTATCCAGAGGCGCCAGGGGGTGAGAGCATTCACCAGTGACAAGTGGGGAGTAGAACAGGTGGATTTACTATAATACACTGCTGAGGGGAGCACCCTATGTGGGTTGACTCCCTACCAGGCTATAACAGTAATAGTGCTGAGACTTGACCCTTAGGCCACCAGAGAAGCCCCCAGTTTCCTCA